GGGAGGGAGAGGAACAAATGTAATAATGTAATAAATAAAGATTTCATTAAATAAATAAATAAATAAATAAATAAATAAATAAATAAAATAATATGCCCCAACAGTCACTACAATTACTTCTATAGAAAATGAAACATACCCTTTCTTCTCTCTGAATTTCTCTGTTCTCATCTACAAGAGACGTCATACTTAGAAGGTCAAAGTAGATCCTAAGTCGACAGGCTAACACAGATCAATTCAGAGATTTGTGGATATAAAATCTATAGGACATAAAAAATCTTTCCTCCCCCAACTTCAAGCTTCAATGGATGAGCCATTCTAGATGCAGATGTCAAGCACTCAAATATCTACCCTAAAACAAAGCAACAGCTAACACTTTGTCTTTGTGAGGAAGTCTACACAAGCCACTACAATTATTCATTTTTAAAAAGTCAACTTGAGCCAAAAGAACAAGAAAGGTAAGAAAAATCTCTCCTTCTGCTCAACAGTGACTTATAATTAGCTTTCTCACCAGGTGTGGGGCCCCCAAAGCCCCTGAGCATCAAATATCCACATTGAGCACTACATAATAGATGTGCCTATCTTCCCAACGTCCCTAAAAAGTTGCTTCCCCATCTGCCAGGATTATGTAGAAGGAAAAGCCAAATATACTCAGGTACCATGAAAGGGTTCTAGGCTTTATGATAGAAGGATGATGCTGACATTCTAGAATTTAGAATCTAGCTGTTTCCCTCAAAATAGTTGAGTAATTTATGTTAACCCTGTACCACCATAGACAATCTAGTACAATTTCTCGGATCAAATATTTCCAGAAATGAGGCCAACATCAAATCCTGCCACAGAACTCCAAGATAAGAGAAAGTGATTAGATAAAAGTGAATAAATAAAAATATAAAGATCAATCCTCCCATGGACAGTGAAGTCATAAGACTTAGAACTGGTCTGAAGTAAAATAGAGTGTCAGCTAAGATGAGGTCTGGCTTCATGAAACAAAGACATGAAAAATTATGGCTTAAACAAGATAAAAGGTTATATCTCTGTCAACTAAAAAAATCAAGACTTAGGCGGTCAAAGGCTGGTATGTGGCCCAGGCTCCTTCCAAGTCATTGTTCTGCCTTTCCTATGGAGTCATGATGCAAGGTGATGACTAGAGCTCCTGCTACCCCTATCAAATTCCACACAGCAAAACGGAAAAAGAGTGGAAGAAAAAGGGGCAGAAGGCATGCATCATCTATCTGCTAAGTTAGTTTTCCCAGAAACTACCATAGAACATTTCCACTCATTTCTCTTTTGGCCAGAGCTGTGTCCTATCATTTTATCAAGCCACAAGAGTGGCCATGTGCCCAGATAAGAACCAGGAGTGTGAGGAGAATAAATATGGGTTGGGGAAGCAACTAACCTCTATGACAAATTATCAGAAAGTCTTACTTAAGAGGTAGCTAATAAGGGTCAGCTGCAAGTGTAGTGATTATGCTAACTGAAGTATGAGTTGTCTCCAATTATTTCAATGAAATACTTGCAACATTCAAACTTCTCAAATTATTATTAAAACTAATTTTAGAGGCTACATGCCTTTCAATCTTTTTTCCCAATTCTGATAAGAGATAAGTGTGAGATAAAATTCTAGTTTCCAGTATAATGCAAGACCTTTATGCCAACATAAATACTATTAACTATCTTTCTCAGGGAAAACAGGCATAATATAAAGTTAAACGTTAATGACTATAGGAGTAATAATTCATTTATTTAGTTGCTATTTTTTTCATTCTTTCATACATTTTTCAGCACAATTCTATGCCACACACTATTGGATGCTAATAATATATCTTTGCTCTCAGATCCTGAGTTGAATAAATAACAGGGGACTATAAAAAACAAAAAACTGAAATTTTAAAAACATTTTAATACCTTTCCCAAAGCTTTAGAAAGGTTTGTACTCTCTCCCTTTCTTATTTTGCACATACATGCACACATAATGAGAAGCTCATGGTGTTGTTTTGTTTTAAAAAGATTTAGTCTACCTAACAGCTTACTTGTATTTTATTTTCATAAATTAACATGGCACCCAAAATATTGCCTTTGTTGGTTATAGTGGGTAAAAACCATCATACAGATAGTCAAAGGTTCCAGATCTAATACCTGAAGTAGATCTAACCCCATGGCAATTTTGCAATGATTTACAATTCACTTCCAGAGGAGATGAAAGAGAAGAGCTAGATCAATGCCCAACCACCATTATCTAGAAAATAGCCTGATCTATCTCTCTCTCTCTCTCTCTCTCTCTCTCTCTCTCTCTCTCTCACACACACACACACACACACACACACACACACTGCAGTGCAGTCCCACAGCCTTTTCCAAAGATCAGTATCTTGGTCCCACA